TGGTGTATCAACCTCAAATACAATCTAAGTGATCTGCTTCTGGATGTTGTAACATTTAACAGTTCCAACCAGAGCTAGTGATTCAATTATGGCCTGCAGAAGTTGCTCGGGGAAATCTTCAACACGAGCAAGTCCGTGATGACTTTGCACAGAACTCAAAACTCTACCGACGATCTGAAGGAGGAATAATGAGATGAAATTATGATACTGCTATAGTATTTAGCTTATGCAGTTGATTGGATAGACTAGAGTAATTTCCATGATTGGCAATAAGGACCTACCTTTCGTGCATAGCCACCAAACGCCACACCAGCAATCAAAGCATTTGGTGAATGTAAGGTGCTCGAATTTTTCTCATTTCTTGAAGCCTCTAAATGAATGTGTGGATTGTGTCAAAACTTCAGTGTTATATGGAATATGAACTTAATAAAGTGGGGACTGTGGAGTTAATACAAGATTTCTTGAGTTAATACCGTGTATGGTCGTTGTTTGGAATAAATTCTCTTTTTTCAACCCCTCCACTGTGTGACCATTGGTACCACCAGCCAGTTGAAGGAAGCCTGTGACATAGGAAGAATCTTCAAATTGCACTAGCGAGTAGTTCATAGAAAAAGACACCAATGAGTCGTATCATGTCATTTATCAGAAGAATTTTTTATGTGCAAACCTTTAGGCTTGTCACCAGCAGAGGCCAATTTTCGTGCAAAAGCAATTGCATCTCTCGTGGCACCTCGCCCAATATCTCCACTCATTGGTCGACCATCCAACTTCAATTAGAATCATTAGTAGAAATGATGAGAATATATTCCGAGCGTTCTAGCTTCTAAATCAAAATTAGTGATAGGACAAATGATCTGCACCTGCCATAAGTTGACGCAGTATATGCTGGATTCCATTATAGAGTACATAGCATTCATTGCAGATATGGTTGAATCTCTCAAGTCTGGAAAACTAACCTGCACGAAACCATGATAAAAACAATTTTTTTAACTTAAATTCTTGAAATGGAACAAGTTGTTTGAACTTGCTAGATGATACTCTCTCCCTTACAATTTCTTTGTATGGGTTTGACTTGACACAGAGTTTAAGAAAATAAAAAAGACTTTTGAGTCTTGTGGTCTTAAACTAAAGATATGTAAAATGCACCAAAATTCCCTGTAATCTCGTGGTTTTACACATGCCACGTGGAAAGTTAGAATTGAAGAGTTATCAAGAAAGGAAAGAGACATTCTTTTTGAAATGGACTAAAAAGACAAGTAGGACAAACAAATTAAACCGAAGGGAGTACTACTTAATGTCACCAACAGAGATCAAAAAAAGAGTAACAGCTTCACATACTGCCACGAGCTTCAGATTTGCAGTTGAGTTCCCCAACCCAGTCCAGAGTTCGTTAAAAACTGAAGGTTCTCTGTTCCAAAAATGAGAATGCAGATAAGATACACTTTTTAGCTACAAATTGATGTTACTCTGATAATGTGACAAAGAACCATTTGTACATTTTGTTTGTGATTTTTGTTGTTACAGAATAAGTAGAACCAAAATCAGATTGTATTGCAGAAATATACATTGAGTAAGCATCTATTCTATGGTTAAGTTTGTGTGTCAATTAAATAAGTAGTGAAAATTCACACTTGAATGATTTCGGGGAATATATTAACCGAAAAGAAAATTATGCTAACCTTCCACTAGTATGAATTTCTATGGCATCAACATCATCCCTTTCAAGAAGTTCAGCTGTAGCTATAACATCTCTCACATACGTAATAGCTCCTGAATCAACGAAAAGATATCTTCATGAATTCAATTTGCAGAAAAACAACAATCCTGACGTAAAAGGGCACGGAGGAGGTGAAAATAGACAGGCAGCAGTGAACTCACTTATTTTGTCATATGGACAAACCGGAAGGCAGCGACCACAACCATAACATCGGTCAGCCAAAACTCCTCCCTGCAATAGTTACAGATGTAGCCTTTAGAAATGAACATGAATAAGCTTAAACACGAATATAGCAGGTTAACAGCTGTAGAATAAATCAAGGGAAATCAAAATGGAGAGAACCTTTTGCAATATTGCATTAGCAGGACACACTTTTTCACAAGGTCTCATGCAATCCCGGGGGCAATCATCCGGATCAAATTCTGCAACATTATCATAGACAATTGGAGTATTAAGCCCACATATCTTACTTAGGAATACTTTCCATGAGTAATTTCATTCATGGTAAAATACAATCTTGGGTCTTTGATCTAAGACCAATATTAGAAAGGCTGAGTACGGAGGACAAAGCTCTTAAAACAAGAATAATCAAAGACGAAAATACACGATGAAGTCGACATTTCATAGTTTCTAATGCTTCAGAAGATTAGGCACTCCAATCAGAAGCCTACTTTTTTTGATAACCGAGAAATCCCCCGACCAATGCATGGTTAAAACCTCGGTGGATCACGGGCTAGCTCATCTACCCTTCTCCACTTACTTACCATATTTTTTACTGGAAAGTTTTTGCCTACGGCAGGGTTGATAGTACTTATATTAAGAGAAAGCAAGTAACTTTTACCCCTACATCACGTAACCAAGATTATGAGAATCAGAAAGGACAAATATGCTGGTTGAAGTCGAGGTGTGGGGGGAGTTACCAGCTTTACGGAAATGAAGATCTTCATCATCATTAACACTGATCATTACCCAAGGCCTGCGTATGGGCACAAGGGCTCTGGCTGCTTCTATCCCTTCATTTACAGCATTCACCACTGACGCCTCAGCAGCGCAGTCAATGCAATCAACTACAATCAACACACAAACTTATCAACCCAATGCAAGGAATAATAGTACCAAAACTATAAGAGACAGTTAATGATTCAATTCTCACCTCCAGCAAGAGTGTAAACCAGAGAAAGGTTCCTGATATCAACCAAATCCTACAAAAACCAAGAAAGATAAAAATTGCTCAAATATGTTAACATGTCTCTGCATTTTGTATAATCTTCATACTTAGTTTGTACTAGCTTCATTACACTTTAATGACGGGATTCGACTACACATGGAGTATAAGATGTTTATTCTGATTATACAAAATTTTGAAACATCATATGAATTGGAACACCAAGTAGTTTATTCTGGTTATACATTTGTGTCAGTCCTTAAACAAAAGAACATCATATGAAGTTATACAAAAAAAGTTCATCTGCAGAAAAGTGTAAAGGTGGAGTCTTTATAGTGAATAAAGAGTTAATAAGTGAAGACCTCAAAGCTAGCACCACAAATGAGCTTGACCCAATTTCCCTTCTGAAGAGATTCAACAGGTGAACTACTAATAGAAGGAATCACTGTCTTCTTTATGATACTTTTCACCTTTTCGACCCCATTGTAGTTGCTGTAATTAAGTGGATCTGGTAAGAGAAACCAAAAAAATTCAAGAAAATTGAAAACTTACAAAAAGATTAATAATTATCAAAACCCCATAAATCCAAATTGATGGAATAGATAGAGAGTACCTTGCAATTTGGTGCCAAGTGAAGCATAACAAGGAATGCTCATAGACATCTTGTTAAAAGGAGCTACTTTTGGAGATAAAGAGTAGGTGGAGAAGATTGTTTGTTATCTAAAAAGAATCTTAAGTTTTTGAAACTACATCATCACCCCCTATAATTGTTTGAAAATGTTCAAGCACATCCTCATATTTGTGATTTGTCTTATATTTGTCTTATATTTATCTATCTGTATAGAGTTGATCAGTCAAAAACTCACACATTCAACAAGTGTTTGGGTAGATGTGCGAATCTATACTAGGAGAGAGTACAATATTATGAATAAAGTTATTTGGAACAAGGTAAGAGTGACCTTTGTGCTGGACAAGATGCATGAAAGTGATAAGAGATATTTTGGCATGTGAAGAGAAAGAGAACATATGCCCCCAATGGAAAAATGCGAGAGATCTACGATGATAGGTCTAAGAAGATATATATCAAGAAAGAAAGGAGGTGAGATCACTAAACATGACATGAATTGGACAGTTGAAATTCAAGAATTAGTGTAAAAAGATTAATAGTAGTTGAACGTTTTCTCGCTTCTATGTAGGAGAGCTTAGTTCTAGTTTAGAGCATTTTATCTGTTTTCTCTTCTCCTTACATGTCTCACTATAATGTTATTATTGTTGTATTCCTTAATTTCATTTATTTATATTGTTCTCTTACTATTTTGTTGTCGTTACTTTTCTATTCTTTGATATTTTCATCATAGCTCTTTGCTCTCGAAGTTGTCAAACTTGTTCTGGAAACGTTTTTTTTAGTCGAGGATCATATCAAAAACAACTTTTGTACCTCTCTTAAAACATGGATAAGGCATATTCACACTAAATATGTTATTGTTATTATTCTTTAAATAGACTATTCATAACGTTCAAAACTTAGTTTATGTATAATCGTTTCAAATAACAAACACATAATTTTCTCAATTGGTGAAAAATCGATAAATATCATAGTATCAAACCTTTCCATTGATGTGAGCTCTCGAGGAAAATCATCATGTTAGTCTTTTCTTAATACTCCCTTTGTCCCAATTTATGTGACACTTTTCATTTTTTGAGAGTCAAACCGTTTAAGTTTGATCGGGAATTTGCGCATGGAATCTTTGAAATAAATTTATATATTTGTAAACTACGTAAAAAGTACTATAAGTCACAATAATTGATAATTCAAAATGTTTAAAAGATCTATGAAAAATTTACGGTCAAAAATAGATTTGTTCGTATCACAAAATCCGAAAAGTGCCACATAAAATGAAACAAAGGGAGTATGTTTTTTTATTTATTTATTAAAGAATATTTTACTACTTTAAAGAACATTTCTTTAACACAAGGAAATAACATATTTTTCTTTAAATTCTTTTTTTTTTTTGGTCACACCTAACACACCAAATAACAATTTTTACAGTTTCACCCACAAACTTTGCATTAATTTCCAAATAGTACATCTTTAGGGTTTAAGAAACTCATGATTATCTCTAAAACCCTGAGCTCACTCACTTTTTGTGTACACTCCAAAATGGTGAACGTCGCCGGCGACGACGATGATGATTTCGGTGATATCTACGCCGACGTATTAGTTCAAGCAAGTTCAGCTATCAATGCTCTACAGAGTTCAACGAAGGTTCAAACGGAAGTTAATGAGGTTAACTACAATGCTGCTGTCGGAAACTGTAATCGTGAAAATGCTGTAAGAGGAGAAGAGGAATGTGAGAGCGAGAGTGGAGATGACTTGAACATACTGTTGAATGATGATGAAGGTGATGATAATTTTCTCAATGCTGGATGTGATGAGGATGAAACTGAGGGAAATGGAGGTTTTAGTGTTAGTGATAAAGGAAATGGTTTAGGACAGAATTCAAATGGCAGCGGAAGTGGCGATGGAGAGAAAAACAGTTACAAGGTAGCATTATAGACTGTGAAATTAGTGAAAAAGAGTAGTGTTAATTTGAACTTGTTTTCGTGTTGCTTAGTTGTTGAACCTGATTACTGATTAGATGAGTTGCTTTGATTATTGAATGCTTATATTGGTTTGATTTTATGTATAAAACAAGGGAGGTTAGTGTAAAGCTGATTATGAGGTTTGCATATTTTAATATTCCTGCCATTTACTATGGTCGAAGACTCTTATTTGGCAGCAATTAAGTTTTTCTTGCTTGAAAAACTGAAAATTTGGTAAATGTATACTCTCTTCAGTTTATTTTCTTGCAATGCACCTACCTCCACTTGCTGCAACTTGGGGATTTTACTGGAAATGCCTTTAGGTGTTTTCTTCGCGATTATCTATTTTTGAATTCTTCAAGTGTGAAAATTATCATGATGATTGATGATAGACTTCATCAGCGTTTACATGAATTAATGCAGTTAAGCTTTCATGGATTAGTCAAGGTGCTGGCCTGAATGCCACCTATATGGAAAGAAAATGGATTAATACTGTTCTGTACTTCTGTTACTTCATAGTGTTTCATTCTCCGAATTATGATTTCGCCCCCTCTTTTATGTAGAACACAAGACCACCACAAGCAGCATACTCAAGTCATCTCAAAGCCAATAGATCTTCTTGTGCGCCTTCTTACTCTACAGCATTTGTCAAGGGCAAATGGGAGGATAATAGCTACACACAAAGGGTGGGCTCAGGCTTTGCTGCTCAAAATGGACAGAGCTTCTCACTTCCTCGGTCGAGGTTATTATGTTTTGTCAAACTTTGCTTGTATTCTAATCTTTGGTTAATGCTTTGTTGTGTTTCCATTTTTATAGAAAAACAGTTCAACATACTGTTATAAGAAAATTATCTACATTTGAAACAACTGGTTCCACTTTTTCTGGTGCATATTTGCTTATTGGAGATAATGTTGGTCATCTCATCAAAGAACTGTTATGAAATAGGTTTACCAGATAAAGTTGTTCTATATTCTTTTGTAGGCTTAATCTTTTCATATTTCATAGATATGTAATTGATCCATAATTTTTCAGGAATATATTGGACGTGAATATTGATATGTTTGAGAAGAAACCTTGGCGGTATCCAGGCACTGACTTGACAGATTATTTTAATTTTGGCTTTGATGAAGATAGTTGGAAACAGTATTGCAACTGCCTGGTAATGAATGCATATAAATTTGTCTGTTTCTGATATGTATTAGAGTATATAGTTTTTCCTTTTATCATTTCTTGTTATCTTTGTTTTTGTATTTCTTCCAACTTTCTAGAATGTATTGTGGCAAAGTTGTTTCTACTATTTTTACTGCATGTCTTACATGTTTATCATTGGCCGTGACTTTTGAAATAGGATGAGCACCGAGATCAAGCAAAAAAGATAGTCAAAGATTCAGACTACAAGACTTCGAAAATTAGTAAGGTAGGAATCTCTGGATGATTGTCAAGTTTTACTATTCCTTAAATAATAGGTGAAGCCTTACCTTATAAAAAAAAGAAGAAAAAGAAACAATTAGTGAGCTTAGTGTATCAAATGGGTTGTGAAAGCTGAAGGTGACCATGTTTCTGTTCAAACCATGCTGAAGATGACATTTAAAAAAAATGTAGATGTCTTCGTTACCTAACAGTTCTTAAATGCTATCTGAAATTGAACTGTTAATGATGTTTATGGTATAAACTTGCCAATGTTCAGCCAAAAGGTAGAGAAATAGAGGTGGAAGAGAGCATGATTGAGCGCCGACCATCAACAGATGTGGGACGTCCACAGTATCGGGATTCTGGTGTCGTCATACAGGTATCAAATTTTTTAATTCTTCCCTTTTCTTGACCATCTAATTGCTGTGTGCTCACAGGCTTGTGCTGGCACCAGATTGCTTTGCAGCAGTCAATGGAAGATCCCATAAGTTCTACAAAAGAGCAGCGGGAAGCATCTGAGAATGGAGATGTTGTTGGGGGAGATAGAAAGGAGTTTCTCTGTTTCAGTAGTGCCAGCGAAGATGAGTTAACCAGCTTGGAAGGAATTGGAGAAGGATCAGGCAAGTCTACATCTGGAAGGTATGTCATCTACTGGTTGAATTGTGATGATAGTCTGTAACACTACTTGCATTATTCTTTTGCTGGTTAATCTTCACATTGGAACACAACTATTTTGCGAAGGACGTGTCAGTAAAAATGACCTTGCAGATTTTAATCCTTATGTAGTTTAAGTTCGAAGGCTATATTATGTTGCAATATAAGAGCTTGAAATGTGACAGGTTTTCTCACATGTTCTTGATGCTTAGTTGGCTTAAAGTTGTCGGCTTCTAAGTCTTTTTAAGGTTTTGTTTTCCTAGACATGCTTGCAAAATATTGTCAAATTTTTCAAAGATTTCCTTCTTCATGGACCATGAGTAATCTGATCCATTGTCGGCTTTCTTTTTGCTATCTTCACCTTTACTTTTAAGTCTTGCTTCTCACATCTCTCCTGTTTTTCTGCTGATTGATGATACATAAAAATGTATTTAATGGTTCAAGTTACTTCATTCTCATAAAATTAACTCTGGATTTCAGGATTACACCTGTTTGTGAGCACGTGTCTATGGGTTCAGATAACTACGGAAATTCTGAGTTCTCTGATGCAGATGAGCGACACCACCAAGAGGGGACCTACTGTAATGTTGATCAAACCTCAGGAGCAATTAGATCTTCTCATGATGCAAATAAAAGCAGTGAGAGAGACATATCTGATCCAAGACAACCTATAAAGTTGCAAGAACCACTGCATGGTGGAGGCAGAGAGCATAGCCCAGGTTCATCTTGTTGTTCTCTAAGTCATGGTGGCACATCTGGAGATGGGACTTTTCTTGACTTAGAGAAATCTCATGATCATCATACAAGGTTATTATCAAACACAGAATCTGAGTTACGGGAGAAGGGTACAATTGATTACCAGCCAATTTATGGAACCAATCATAACAGAACAAAGTCTGGTGATCCTAAATATTTTACACGAGGTAGAAGGTCTGTGCAAAGAGAACTGCTGCATGACAGAAGAAGACCTGGTCGAATGAGTGGAACAATTCCTGCTCACCTGAAAGATGAGGATTCCCACAAATCAGATGCTAGGATACTGTATGAAAGGCGTAATTCAACTGTGATCCGATACAGACAGAGAGATAGACGATATGCTTTTGACTCTCATGAAAGGGAAGATACTTCACATTTTAAGAGGGCAGAACCCGTTTACTCTAATGCAGGACGATTTTCTGATTATCCATGCCGGGATTCTTTTACAAAAAATCCTGAGATGGAACATCAGTTAAGATGTAAATATGACAAAAACTGGTCTGGCGGTCGAAGCGTGAAAAGAAAGCTAGATCCTCTTGAACTATCAATTTATACAGATGATGAATTGTTGGAAAGAGATAGACCCCATTATGGGAGAAGACTCACTGTTCAGGATATGGACACCGTTCCTTTTCATGAATCGGAACAATGGTTCGATAAGTATATTTCCTATTCAGATGATGAGAATCCCAGTCAACGAATGCGGAAAATAGATCAGCTGCCGAGTAAGAAGAGAGTGAGGACTGATGATCTTGTAACTGAATGTAATTACATCTACGATATCATGGAAGAGACTGATAACAGATATAGACCATACAACCACAGGGATACTAATATTCTAGAAGATGGCTATCATGTAAATTTGACTTATTTCAGAAGAGAAATTAAAAGCCCCAGTAGGGGCAAAAGGAGAGATGTCAGTCCTTGCAAAAGTTCAAATGATATATGTTTCATGGATCTAAAGGATGAGGAAGGGAGATTTGATGGGTATCGACCTCCATCCTTTCGTTTGTATAGAGAATCTTGTACTTCTAGCAGAAGGTGGCAGAGCCCTGAACTGCCACGTGGCAGACACGGAATATTCAGTGGGACTAGGAAATGTGATGGTGGTGCTAATTTGACCAACTCCATTGGTTCCGATCAGACGAGCAAGTATCCTGGTAATCAGGACAATTTTAAAAGAAGAAGAGGGGGCCAGCAGTCTGAAGGGATGCAATGGGTTGAAGATGAAAACAGTTCTAGGTATCAGCAAAATATATTCGATGCTGAGAGGACGTCATATTCGTTCAGAAGAAGTTCAAGTGACCGAAGGTTTAATTCATTTGACAATAATCATGGACCCAACCCAGTAGAAAAGCTTTTAGATGATAGGCATGTGGAGCAGGAAAAATACAAATTGATCAGGGAAGGCAATAATGCCAGTCAATTTGGTCAAGGGTCTAAAGTTTTTCATAAAGATAATCATTGGAGGAGATTCCCAAGAGGGAGAGATTCTGTTGACACGGGCTTGATTGTTGAGAACGGAGAGGTAATTTTGTGTATACAAATGTCAAGATTGTATAGTCTATATGTAAATATGAGTTTTCCATATATGTTGGGTCCTGTTCCATTGTGTGATATCATCTCATGCTACCAAGGTCTCCTATTTCCCTGTGCGTTTGATTTCAGATTAAAGTTCTCATGTTGCCTTGTTTTTTTTTTTTAAAAAAAAATTGTTCTTGAATTGACCCTTAAAAAATTGAACTTGTCAACTCCAAAATTATATTAAGCTTGCTATTCTAGGAATTCTTATATTATTACCTTTAAGCAATTGATCATCAGTATTCTCTAGTTACTTATGAAACCATATAAATCTGTTGGTGACCATTTAGTCGTTTATTTCTTGATCCTACAAATGTGCATCAACGTTGTTACTGACAGTCCTCTATATGTTGACGAGAAAAGAGTGTTTGCTTAAGGGACATGTTACCATTTTGTAGCTCCAGTTGGTGTTAGTCTTTTGTCACTTGAAGTACATTAGATATCTAATGTGATAGCACTTTTGCAAAAAATAAGAGAGGACTCCGAAGTTCATTGTCTTTGTGTAGTTATATAGGTAATCTTCTGCAACAGGAATAAGCAAGTAAACTTTTTCTATATACTGCAATTTTAATATCAGTAAAGCGGATCTCAGTAAACTAGGCAGAAAACACCAAATTGTATTACTGGAGTATCACTAAATTGTAATCATGACGAGGCTTGCTTATTCTTCTAACTCACGAGATCTCATTTAACACAAATAGTTTCTATTTTTGTGTTGAAATGGGCTGTCATTCTTTTTTCTCGAGTCTGATAGCTTGATATGTCACTAGCACAATGTTTCTGCAAGACTTCATTGATTGTTCTTTTATCTTAAATTGAGCAATAGTTTAGGAGGTAAGTTGCCTTTGTATGCCGGCATTGGCATAAAACTGTGTTTTACTTTTACTATCAGCGTCAAACTACATGTCCTGACTTTTTGGATATTAACCATCATAAAGTTGTGCTTAGTGCTTACACAAGAACTTTACATGATTCAACATTCTATCAAATCTTATATTCTTTCTTGGCATACGCTTTTGTATGTGGGATACCTTCAGTTTTTAATAAAGTATTATATTTGCTTTCATTTATTCTTCAATACAACTTTTTTTGAATATGATGACTTCAAGTCGTGTTCAAGAATGTGAGCTGGGAAGTGAAATAAGAAAAAGGAGATCGCTACACCACTGAAGTTGCTGTCCTAATGCATGCTCCTTTTATGTGTCTGGACAACTTTGCATCTTGATTGGAAATGATAATTTTAGCTGGACAGATAATCTATATTCAATTTTTGAGAGGCCATATTAGGTGTTGCTCCTGCTTGAACTTGGACTAGAATGAAGTCTTGTTTTTCTCTTATCAATGGGAGGGGGTGTTCAATGTTTGAATATGTAGTGCTTGGGATCTTAAGTAGATAAGAACAAATTAAAAATACTGATATTCTGTGTGAGCTCATGACTATTTAACATCATATCTTGGAAGTATTTTTTACTTCTGATATTCCGTTTAGTACAGATGATGGGGTGCTTTTGGTAGAAAACTATGTCTTTTTGTAAGGTTCTCTACATTTCTCCCCATCTTTTCAATAGAATTGTTACCTCCATTATCCAAAAAATAAAAAAGAACTAGAGTTAATTATTCTGTTTCTAGAATTTAGAATCCACACTTTACTTTCTTCAGCTCTGTTTGAGGTAAGATCCGACCCTTCCTTGGTGGTGTCAAAGTTTTTTTAAAAAAAAACAAACTAATAATCATAGAAAAGGGAATTAGATGTGGAGAAAACTTTAACTGCATATTTCGTCTCGCAATTATAGTGTTTTACTTCTGCTTCAGGAGCCATTTCCTTTTCATCAATTTTATGATACATTGATACCATTTTGTTAATATGGTCTCTCTGATATTTATTTTTATTTTGATATACCATGACAGCATTATAAAGCTTTGTTATTATCCTCGTTCTTAACACATTCCTATGTTTTAAATTTCTTCTTGGCTGCACTTTATTGGTAAACAAAAGCATGATGGTCTGCTTTGGAAAGTCATCTTGATTAGCACGTATGCTAATTCCTTTTATCCTTCAGCTCCAGTTATAATTTATTACAAACACATATAGCCATTGACTATATAGCTCTCTTCTGTTTAACTATTTAAGTTACATCCCCTTTCAAAGTTTCAAGTTTGTGAGTACTTGGTATGATAGTTTTGCCTTTGACAGTTAACAAGTTCTCTAATTCTTTTCATGGTAAGTTTTTGTGTCACGTGAGCTCACGCACGATAAGGCGGCCTCTCTTCATTAATTGTGTAAACTATCAGGATTTTGATTTTTGTTTGTGACCATGGATCTGCAGTCCTCCGGAAGATGCTCCAAAGCAGGGGGTGTAACATCCTTTGACAGGTATAGCCACTTGGATTCAGATAGTTATGTGGAGCTGAAGCCCATCGATGGAACTAGCAAACCCCATTTCAGGAAGACACTCAGAACTCGAAATGTGACGACTGATCCTAAAGAAAATGATAAAGGAAGGCTTGATATATTCTCAGATGCCAACCAGGAAGAGTCTCTGGATATTGAAGAAGGTCAGATAATTGAAGAAATGAACGAGAAAATCATTAAAAAGAGAATCACATGTTCTGGCAAATCACAAATCAGTGAAATGAAGAATTTCGCGTATGATAAAAATGTGGAGGGACAGGACAACAACCCTAGGATTTTGGAGATCATGGCAAAGATGGAAAAGCGTGGAGAGCGTTTCAAGCAGCCTATTGCTCTCAAAAGTGATACAAAGAATGTCTCTAAGCCTTTGGTTGATTCGTTTGCTTTGTCAACTGAACCTATGCAACCAAGACCAGCACGAAAGAGGAGATGGGCTGCAAGCAAGGCAACTGTTTAATGCTTGTATTAGAGAAGGTGCGTCTCACTATACCTTCATAACTGGATTTGTATATAGTGGCGTTTGATTGAAGAAATGGTTGCTGATGGTATAACTGGGGACGGGGTTAAGAAGTTTCCCATGAAAAGAGGGAAAAAGAAAACACGTCTCATAAAGAATACTGTCTGTTTTGTTGCGCTAAATGCGTTTTTTTTCCTCTGAAGTATAATTGATTATTTTGATTTCAAAGGATGCAAGGCTACCAGTGATGATGGTATGGCTTGAGCTTTTATTTAGTCAACTTTATTCCCATTTGGTACAAGCTTTATTCTTGAGAAATCATGGTGTCTGCCATGTATAATTTCTCAGTTAAGTTTTATAATTTTTTCTTATTAGTTCCTTGATATGTTTCAGAAGTAGTGGTTTGGAAGCAACTTTCCTGTTTGATTATATGGATCTACAAGTTCAAGTTGCAAGCTTGTCTGAGATGTTTTGCTTCAATAAGGTAGTGAGTATGGCGTAATGTTAGGGACGGAGTTAGGAGGTTGCAAAGGGTTCATTCAAATCTCTATCGTTGGAAATTACATTGTATATGATCAAATTAATACTAATTGTTTATCTATCTACATCTATATTACCTTAAAAGCATGAACTTCTAACTTGAATGTTAAATTACTAAAATATTCGTAACTTAGGTTGTGATTTTTTTAATGAGTTATGACTTTTTCGATAACTAGTGGAACAAAAATGCGCCACGAATTCACATAACAAATGTTGCTAAAAGTTAATATTCGTGGCAACTAAAATTGTCACTAAATTATATAACGATTATCGCTAAAAGATTGTATTAATGGCAACTAAAACAGCCACTAAATCATTAAACAATTGCCACTAAAAGATAGTGTTAGTGGCAACTAAAACAGCCACTAAATCATTAAACTATTGCCGCTAAAAGATAGTATTACTAGCAGCTAAAACTGCCACTAAATCATTAAACTATCATCGCTAAAAGATAGTATTAGTGGCAACTAAAACCACCACTAAACCATATGAGTCGCTGGGAATAAAGTATTAGTGGCAACTAAAACAACCAAAAAATCATATAAAGTCGCCACAAAAAGAAAGTATTAGTGGCAACAAAACCGCCACAAATCATATACGTGTCGCTAAAAGTCAGTATTGGCAACTACTACTGCCACTAAATCATACAAGAGTCGCCGCAAAAAGAAAGTATTAGTGGCAACAAAAACCGCCACGAATTCCTATTAAAGTCGCCGCTAAAGATTTGTTTTAGCGGCAACTTAATCCGCCACTAATAAAAATAACAGTTGCCGCTAAAAGATAATATTAGTGGCAACTAAAACCGCCACGAAATCATGTAAGTGCGCCGCTAAAAGTAAGTATGAGTGGCAACTAAAACCGCCACAAAATCAAATAACAGTTGCCGCTAAAAGTCAGTATTCGTGGCAACAAAAACCGCCACTAATTCCTATTAAAGTCGCCGCTAAAAGATTGTTTTAGCGGCAACCAAAACCGCCACTAAATTAGATGGGAGTCGCCGCAAAAGAAAGTATTTGTGGCAAAAAAAACCGCCACTAATTCCTATTAAAGTCGCCGCTAAAAGTTTGTTTTAGTGGCAACTAAATCCGCCATTAATAAATAAACAGGTCGCCGCAAAAAGAAGGTATTAGTGGCAACAAAATCCACCACCAAATCAAATAACAGATGCCGCTAAAAGATAGTATTTGTGGCAACTAAAACCGCCGCTAAATCATATAAGAATCAGTGCAAAAAGAAAGTATTACTGGCAACAAAATCTGCCACTAAATCAAATTACAGTTGCCGCTAAAAATTTGTTTTAGCGGCAATTAAATCCGCTATTAATAAGAATAAATGGTGCCGCTAAAAGATGATATTAGGCAACTAAAACCGCCACTAAATTATGTAAGAGTCGCTGCAAAAAGCATTAGTGGCAACTAAAACCGCCACTAAATCAGATTACAATTGCCACATAGTATTAGTGGCAACAAAAACTGTCACAGTAAGTACAACATAAACCGCCACTAAATAATATAATAGTTGCCGCTTAAAGATGTATTAGTGGCAACAAAACCACCGCCGCAATCATATAAGAAATGCCGCTAAAAGTAAGTTTTAGTGGCAACGCTAAAAGTAAGTGTTATTGGCAACAAAATCTGCCACGAAAAGTTTGTTTTACCGGCAACTAAATCCGCCACTAAATCAAATAACAGTTGCCGCTAAAAGATAGCACTAGTAACTAGTGTATAGTATATGTCGAGTCTGCTCCAGTTGTTTGTGTATTTACTTCTCTAAAAGTAGCTAATGTTGTAACACAACAAAGAACAATTGGTTTGGTCAATTGATTATATAGCCTTTCCATCGTTTTACCAAGAGATTTTTAATCACACAAGAATTTTTCAAGAAGCTATGTCAAACTATTTCCTCTATCTATCTGAATGTGTCTAATAGATAGATTTATTTACTAGTGTAATGTAGCCATTTTGGGACCAAACCTACTTTGGTATATTCTTGGGTCATATCACTCACATTTTAACAAAGCCATGGATAGAAAATTAATTCGATTTGATCTGAATAATCCTGACCAAAACCAAAATTGTTTATCTAAGTAAATCAAAGGTAAACATGAGTAGGAGTTCAACTACACCATAGAAACTGGCAATTGCATTTAAAGTGTTTGTTTTTAAGCTTCTGGCAAAAAAGATGAGCGAGCAGTGGTCTTAGTCGTTTCTCCTCCTATTGCTTGTGGGAGCGGGGGGTTGCTGTGAGAGGATTTTCAAAACATTCACCAATGCCCGTAAACGATCCCAGATGTTCAAACCATAAAGAGTGTGCACCAGAGACTCTTGGAACTCGAATCCATTCTCAGCAATAGGATACTGCAAAAAGATGGGAGTAAAGTTTACTTATATGATATGAAATGTATGAAGGAAAACATGGTTTCAGTAGATGAGCAACTCACCTGAATAGGCTTTGGTATCTTGGTTTTAATAAATGGCCACCACCGGTCCTCCACAACTGACTTTACGAGACAGCAAGCTCGTAATCCTTCAATACCAGCAAATCTTCCAAATCCACTGTCTTTGACTCCACCAAATGGCAAGGACTGCATATCATTATTCAGGAGAAAATGTTAAAAGGGCCCATTTTAAAAGGAGACATGAAAGAAAGGGGTGCAGGGGAGGACAAAAGGCGTTAGACTGAAAAGCTGGAAGTTCCAAAATTTTAAACAAAAGAGGGTTTTAAGAGGATAAACAATGTTGGACAAAGCAACTACAACAACATACAGAGTGTAATCCCACACAATGGGGTAGGGGGAGGGTAGAGTGTACACAGACCTTACCTCCATCCCAGAGGTAAAGAGGTTGTTTCCGATAGACAAAGCAATTGTTTAACGTAAAGAACTTATGGTCTTTTTAGGTAGTTTGCCTTCAGAAGAGAGATTTCAAGGTACATGGCAAAGCTTCAGGACCAATAACAGGCGCAGGAAGGTCATGAGCATCAGGAGTTGAGAATGGGAGTGAGTCATGAGTGGAAAGGTAGGGTAACTTTTGATAGTGTTTCGCAACAGTTACTTCTGGCTGTAGAAGAGAGAAGGTAAGGAAGCTAATTTCTAGCTCGTCAAATTTGCAAATGCGGACATTTAAAGGCAGAAAGAGGATCTTTTTTGTTCTCCTTTGATGTAAAGGTTAAGAAATAATAATTAGACCATGTGAGATCTGTAAATTTCAAGCAGATGCAACAAGGTATTGTCTGAGGTTCACAAAATTCTCTCCTAATTTGTATGCATACCTCAAACATCATAGCAATGGTCACATATAAGTATGCCAAACTCTTTGATAAAATGTTTCAAGAGCCTAATGCCTACAGGTACCTGACACATGTAATTTGATGCGAAGTCATTAATAGCAGCCACTCCACAATGTAATTGTGAAGCTATATGCCTAGCACGACGCTGACTGCCTGAAAATACAGCACAACCAAGCCCATAGCTTGAATCATTTGCAAGCTGAACAACTTCTTCATCAGAGCTGAATTTCATTATCGGCAATATTGGTCCAAAAGCCTGCAAACAAATTGTCATATGGAGTTAACCATGCCACCTTCATCTCAGTAGTAACTAAAAAGATAATCTATCAACTGATGATACCTCCTCCTGCATCAGTTTCATTGTGTGATTTACATTAACAATCACAGTAGGAGGGAAGTACTGATCAACAGCACCTTCACCAATATTGCCTACACTTCCTCGAGCAACAATTTCAGCACCTTTGTCTAGGGCATCATTTACTAGGTATTGAAGCCTTTCAGAATGCTCTTGCATGCATATGGCTCCCATGTCATACTTGCCGGACAAAGGAGGTCCCTACAATTAAAAAAAAACAGTTTAAATATATAAGTATTTTAGAAATCAGACTACGCTAGCAAAATCACAAATTTCAAAGTCATTAGTTTTCTGCTTAGGATTCAGGCAATCATTGTGTATTTATCGCTCAATTCTAGGCAAACTAATGCTTCTACGGTTCACAATTATTAGCAAACCAGAATTTAGATAGGATCAGTGAGCAATCTAACAAAGAAACCAAAAAGGCACCATGTGCAAAATGCTATGTTTCATGAAAGAATAAAGATCTTATAATGCATCGAGTTGAAAATATGACACAAATGAGAAAAGTTACATACAGCAGTAACCGATTTCACAATTTTGACTATTTCAGCAACAAAAGAAGAGTAAACATCCTTGTGAACATAAAAGCGTTCTGCACCAGCACAATTCTGCCCACTTGATTGGAGAGCTCCTCTAGCAGCAATTTGTGCAACCTGCATCAAATTTGATTAGTTCTTTTAAAGACTCGTGAGAAACAGATAGAGATGAATGATCGTCTTTCTTTAACTTCTCATAGAGCTATTTAAATGATTTTCCAATCACAGTTGAAAAGCAAACAAATGTACTTGACACCCAAAATGAAAGCAGACAGGAAAAGTTTATACATGCGGCACATCAACATCTTCACAGACAATAAATGCGTCTTTTCCACCAAGCTCAAGGGTAACTGGTATCAGTGTATTTGAAGCACTTCGCATAATCTGTAGAACACTAAGAGAACATTAGAATTTATAATTCAACAGAAAAGAAAAGAAAAGTTAGTAAAAGGTATAGAGAAGATGAAAATGGAGGTTTTAAGTCACTCTGTATTAGATGAGAAAATATAAGCATGTATTCTATGTTCAGGGAGAGCCTACCTTTTTGCCCACACCAGGAGATCCAACAAATATGATTTTGTCAACAGAGGATACTAGTGCTTCTCCAGTTTCAGCAAAGCTGGCAATGAAATTTTAAAATGTAAGACAAATCATACCAGAACAGAAAGGATAAATGTTGTATAATGCATACCCTGTTATCACTTCTACCAAGTTCTCAGGAGCTCCGACT